TACTATATTATGGATTCTCGCGATTCTTCTTCTCAAAATCCTATTTTCAATGATAGTTGCTCTCCATATGGGCCAAACCGGAAAAATTCTATATTTTTATAATTTTATTTATACAATCATACGGGCCAAACCGGAACGAACCGCGACTCGTGACCCGCATGGGCTCGACCCGGATGGGTCAGCGGGCGGACCTGGGTTGTAGTCCAAAATTGTGGGCCGACCCGTAACCGGCCCGGAACCCGTAGCGGGCGGGCTTTTTTTCACGCGGGTCGTTACCGGACTCATATGTTGGCGGGCCGACCCGGCCCGAACCACCCGGATTGACACCTCTACTTCGAATGCAAGTAAAGCAACTCCATATGGTTGTATTCCATAGCAATTCTCAGAATTACAAAAGTCAAGTTTAAAAGATAGTTGAATCCGTTACGACTAATTATCTAACCTCAATAAAATAATGGACGAAACAATCACATTGTCAACATTAAATTTTATCTTTTTACAGAATGTTTTCCTATTAGCTCTTTGTAAATTGCCTTTGATTTATGAGTGATGGACTTGAAATAGAAGCACATAACATACTTCTTATTTGTCACAATTCTAACCATTGATTGAAAAAGATGTTTTTAAAATCAATGTACCAAACACATAAAAGTGTAAACTCAGTTATAGACCAAGATGTACATATAGCATGACTCGTAATATAGAATAAGACTGCTTTTACATCAAAATGCGTACACTTCGATTGACACTTCTTATGTGTCAAAAATCTAACAATTGATTGAAAAATATGCTTTTAAAATCAATGTACCCAAATCTGCCAACACACGAGTATAAACTAAGGTATAAACCAAAATGTACATGGCTCAATGTACCCAGAGCAGAGGTTCACATTAGATAGCAGCCAAAAATGAAAAAGCAATAGCATCAGTACTACTTTTATTAGATATATGCCAACATTTCCACAAAGTACTAAAGATTGATTACCTGACAAACCCCATATTACTATATTACTACTTGTATCATATTGTATGTACTCAAAGCAGCCTATTTACCATTAGACATAACAAAGAATGAATTCAAGCTAGATCTTTGCACAAAATACCAAAGACAAGACCTCCCCTTCACAATACGGAACAAAAAAGTATGCGCCCCAAAAATTCAACACCAGTAGTCACAAGAAATCTATATGCTGGTTCAGATTAAGTCAATGGCGATTCAACAACTTGAGGGGTCTCCCTTTCATGTGTAGCTGAACCATGGGTAATCCTTGAGGTCAATTGATCCCCATTTCATAAGCTTTTATCTGCAAAATAAATATAAATCATCAAACAGATCAAATAAAAATCCCTTGATAGCATGTCTAACGACTCTTGAATTCTCCACTGTATATCATGTCAATAATCAATAGAAATGAACTTCCAGATAACGTTAGGTCTTCCCATTAATGGAGAAAATTAAGACGCTTATTTTGACATGTCAGTCAGGCTCAAGAGTAATAAATACCTAAATAAAAGATACAATGTCCAAGTAAATTCCAAAGAAATCGACATTCAAAACAGAAGTATGGAACTACTGACATGTACATGGCAATGCTGAAATGAATTCCGAAGAAGTTACGCAAAGCCACATTATCTTGATCTTAATTCAACCGAAACCAAATCCTTCACTAGCTTCATGGATTGCCAATAATAATCGTTCTTCAAGCTGTTCCTTTGAAGAATACTCTGGAAGGTCCAGTTGATTGAAGCTGCAAAAATTGGAGATGAATGAATTGGTAGGGCCAAGATTACAATACAAACAATTATCTAATTGAAAAAAGCTAACACTCAACTCATTATCCTGATACATGAAGAAACTTACCAGGTATGAGCCGATGGC